TCATGTATTGTAAAGTTGTGTGAATTTTTCAATAAATTCTTTTGTCAAAACCACTTGCAATCTGATTCATAGCTGAGCGCCTTGCCGCCGGTTACATTGGGAAACATCTCGTCTCATGGAAATGAAAAGACCAAAGCTCATCCTTATTGGCCTCGAGATTGGTTAACATAGTAATAAGAAAGAAGGACCAAATATTTATCATCAATCAACATGGTGCTGTTTCATCCCAATAACCACCCCTCCCCCTCAAACACCATGCAGAAACGTTTTATACAATGTATGATTGTTAACTGCACCTTCAGCAAACTTCATTCTGAAATTATAGTAGATTTGATCTTAATGCTCCTTTAGTGTAAAACATTTTATTGGGGGGGGGATAAGGGGGAAAGAGGTAGGTTCAGATGTGCATACTTTATCTGATAATGTCGATATATATTTTCCTGAATAAGGTACAAGCATTTCGAGGAATTGTCATGTTACCAAAACCATATGGGCTTCAGAAGACTCTCTTGGTTTTTGCTGAGGTAAGTTGAGGTATGGGATATATAGTCTTATCTGATAGGTATACAATGCTTTGAAAGTGGTAGACCATGAAATATCCATGCATCACTGGTATTACATCTATTCAAAAACATTTTCATCTCCAAAAACGATAGGCAATAGGCGAAAAGCGATAGGAATTAGGTCATTCCAAGATCTGAGAATGCATGGAATGACTTGTGTGTCTGCTTCTTATTGTTGTTGAGAACATGGACCTTAGTGTGAGACTGATTCAATGTTCTTTGTATTCAATGAAACCATTTCCATGTAGGAACGACCTATCGCCTATCACCTTTTGCGATGGCAAAACAATGGCAGACGGGAATTATATGCATAAACTATCGCCTATCACCTTTTGTGATGGCGAAACAATGGCAGACGGGAATTATATGCATAAACGCACTTTCCTGCATTTTCATTGCATGTATTTTCTAATGACATGGGTGATTAAAATATGTGACAGTATAAAAATTAGAAATCAATATAATTGTACTTCCAAATAGTAAGTCATAAGATAACTTTACTGTGCAACTACACCAACCAAGGACACTCAGACAAATTTTTATACTTATAGTACACTCAACAAAATTACTCGACTCTGATTGGTCGAGAGGAGTACAATTATAGCGTTAATTGTACTCCGTAGGAGTACCCAATTAAGTCGCTATGGCAACACGGCCAAAACAATGTCAAAACAATTATTTTCTATCATTTTGCACTTAAAAAACATAAGAATAAAATTTTAAAGCCGTAAGAACTAATCTTTTTTATGCATTTCAATTGCACGATGGACTGAATATCGGCCGCCAAATAGACAAAGATGAACGGCGTCGCTTTGCATTTTTTACTGAAATTTTGTTGAGTGAACTATAAACAAAAAATCGCACGATATTCTCGTACAATTTGGTATTAATAGACACTCGTAATGTTTTGAAAGTTCTTTAATTGCATTCGCCTAAAGGCTCATGCAATTACAAGAACGTTCAAAACATTACTCGTGTCTATTAATTTCCAAATTGTACTCGAGATCGTGCGATTTCCTATACAAATTAGCCAAACACGATTGAGTATTTCAACAATAGAATCTGTACAAATTTCACATTTTCCTCTTTAAAGGCACATATTTTACTTTATACGAGTGTGCGTATGATCAGAAGTGAACTGCAAGAGACAGTTTAAAACCTGATGCGAGTTGGGAATTTGATTTGAAATTTGCTTGGGTGGCTTTGGTTGATGTAGTCGCACTGATACCTAACAATGGTATACCTAAAACACTAAGTTGGTATTATATTTTTTTAAATAGGGAGATGCCGCAGTTGCTGCAAAAGAAGGAGGGGCTGATATAGTTGGTGGGCAAGAATTATTTGAACAAGTAAGAATCTAATGCTGTCTTTGTGGTATCACTAGGAATGAGCTTTTACTATGTAATCCCAAGGACCTCCAAAACTCACAGGACAGAAAAATAACCCATAGATAGAAAAAGCATGTTAAAATATTAGTAAAACAGTACTATAGAGTTTGTGAAAAGAGTATTCAAAGCTGGCAAAGATATAATTTTATTTTAAATCCAAATTTTGTATGAAAAAAATATTTTTCTGGTAGGCAAAGGCATAGCAGCAAAGGTATTTTTTAAAAATTCACACTTTTCAAAAATCATATATTCATGAGTTTTGAACTTATTTCCTTCAAACTTCACCATTTTACAAATCTTAGCATGCTCTTTCCAGCTATGGTAATTATTTCTCTGTTTCAATAATTTCAAATGACCAGATAAAAGATCATAGATTTGTATCAATAATATTCTGATTTGGAACAAGTCACATGCTTCTCAGATAAAGTTTAGTCAGTGACCCATTTTTAGTGTCTTAACACGTCACTCCATCACCATAAATTTGTTCCATGTTTATGCTATACATTAAAGATTATCCATGGCCATTCAAAAGGTGAAAATTCAAAACCTTTATTTTTGCGATTCAAGATCCAGTCACTGACTGAGGCCCAGTCACTTCCAATCCATTTCATTCACAACCAATCCATTCCAGTCACATCCAAGTAACATCCAATTGATCTCTGATACCATCTTAATGGAGGAAAATTAGTCGTAAAAATTTGTAACGATCCACAGAATCACCTATAGACACATGATGTATACAGTCCTTTGAAAAACCTTTGCCCCTGACTGGCTTCAGAGGACTTTAACCTGCCACAATTCTTAATACTTAAAAAATTTCATTTTTTAAAATATTTCAGAATAGAATCACTAGTTATTTATAATAAAATAAAAATCATAGAATAAAGACTGCAAATTCAGTGTTAAAAAAAGTTTATGTTCCGTACGATCCAGCCAACCAAAGTCCAGTCCATTCCATCTATTTTCGGTTCCGGATTTTCCAAAAATTAAAAAAGACTCAAAATTTGGGCATTTAGAAGAGAAAAACAAGTTTTAGAAGTTGGGCATGTTTTTGCTATACATTAAGATTATCCATAGCCATTCAAAAGGTTTTACTGGCTTGCCCAAAGAACCTGCTCCCAAATAGTGGTACATAATGAAGATTAGGTGTTAAATAAGCTCCAGCATACCAGCACATTGGGCAACCCAGTGCATGCTCAAAGAGTGTCTTGTCTTTCATGCTGGACAAGTGGAAGGGCTAAAGCCAACTCATCCTCTTCCCCCCATCTCTTTCGTCCCTGGGGCTGGAAGGGGATAATGAAGGGGATAAGTTGAAATGTCCAAAAATAATTCAATTATGTTAAACTTACATTGAATTTTTAAATTCTTCCAGATTAAAAAAGGAGGACTTAAGTTTGATCAGTGTCTCTCTACCATGGAAATGATAGATAGAGTCAAATCCTTACAAAGAATATTAAGAGAAAAGATGCCAACAACAAGGAGAGGTAATATTGGCCATTCGGATCTACTGTAAGGTTGAGGAAAACTGTGGTTGAAACGGTTGGACTGTTATATGAGACTTTACAATATGGCATCTCCTAATTATGTCCCCTTAAAACAGTCCGCAATGGAATGGGTAAAATTGATGCTCTAGGAGTCATCACGTAAAATTCAAACATACTTTTCTGGAATTTGCTTGAATGACCAGTGGCACAAAGGTTCCAAATTAAGCTTGAACTTGATAGAATACAGTTAATGTATGAACCCATAATGTTTATTCTCGACTTGGAACAATATTGTTTCATGGTTATGCTCAAGCAAATTTTGGAACGTTCTACCATTAGTATAACTTCCTGTTCCTTTAGGAGCCATTCATTTTTATTGGGGTGGGAGGGGGGGGGGGCAGTGGGATTCCCTTGGGATTCCCTTGGTAGCCCAAACAAGGAATCTGACCACCCCACTCCAATGGCCTCCCTTGTTTTTCTTCACTCTGACTCTTCACTTCTTCATGACCAATTTTTTAAAATCCCCCCTTCCCCCAAATCCCACAACCCCCCGTCCATTGTAAAAAATGAATGGTCTCTTATGGGATGTCAGTTTTCGTGATTTTTTCACATGTTTGTTGCCCTGTTTTCCCAGGTACAGCTACAGATGATATCGTAACAGCTATCAAAACTTATAAACAAGGTCATTCCTACAAATGTGATAAAAATGGATTTCTTAATGTTGGGATAGGCAAGGTATGATAATATTAAATGAAAAGCTTACAAGCCAGACCAATCTGCACTTTTATATCATATTTCTGCACAAGAGCATTTATTGGAATAAATGCAGATTCAGCTTTGAAATTCAGCTGTTACAAAGTATTTAACAAAACTGTCATAGAATGTTGATAACTCCTTTTTTGTTGTTGTTGGAATTAGCTAAGTTTCCAAGATCAAGAAATCAAAAACAATGCAACATCTTTAATACAAGCTGTACATTCTCATAAAATCAGCAGTAAAGGTAAGCACTTGTTATCTTATTCAACCCTTCTATTTTAACAGAGTTGATTTTATCAAAAATTATAAATAGCAAACTGTTTAGAAGGCTGCAGCTTGGATACATTTTCACAAGAGTCTGGCATTTTGGTGAGAGAAAGCGTAACAGGCATGCATGCATACAACAAAATTCCCATTTTAAGTCAAGGGGTTTGACAGTACTGTCAAGAACAATGCATAACTAATTAGGGAAGCTATGTTTTTTATTAGGGGAGGGGGCGGGCAGGACTGGGGGATTTGCAGTAAACTTTTTAAAAATGGTTGTAGCCCTCACCCTTTCACTCAGTAAGAAATTCATGACCCTCCTATTAAGTCAACAAGGAAACAGCTTTCGTCAAAATATAAAGGCTTGACCCTCCACAATAGTTGAAGCCACAACGACAAAAAATCTAAAATCTACATAAAAGATGTGGAATTCTTCCCAAAGTATGAGAATCACCTTCCTGCCAATCTAGTGCTACTGCATTTTAAACGATATTCTGTTTTCTGCAGGCAAATTCATCACAAGAATAATGATGTCATCTACTCRCGGGCCTGGTTTACTACTTCATCTAAATGAACTAGAACCATAAGCATTATGGCATTCCATGTAACACTTTTGCCCTATAACCTGTATAATAATTCCCAAATTATTAAAATATTTACTATCAGAATTATTTTTTTCTGACAGCCCTTGGTAGATTATTGACTGTCTTACTAATGATCAATCAAAAGCACAAAACAATTTGAGTGGAGACTCCGGGGGAAAAAAGAATAATTACGATTTCTCGCGCGCTGATTGGCTAATTTTTATCTTGAATAAGAGGACAGACAATAATCTTACGTCAACGAGAGCGCGCTCTTTCCGTTGGTTGTTTTGATCGGCGACTGTCTTGATCGGCTAAAAACGAGAAGTTTTTTTTTTGTTATTGTAAAAAGAAAATTGCATCATGTTTTTGGTGTGTCTGTCCCCTTATTGACAATAAATTTCGTCATATCATAATAATAATAATAATAGTGCATTTATATAGCGCATATCCAAATGAATGCTCTATGCGCTATAATAATCAGAATAACAATAATAATCAAAAACTAATGATAACTAAAAATCAAAATAGTTTTTAAACAGATGAGTTTTAAGTTGCGACTTGAATTCAAGGACAGTTTGACAGGATCTTAAAGATAGAGGTAGAGTTCCAGAGTTCAGGTGCAGCAAAAGAGAAGGATCGTCCACCATTGTAAATTGGTATTTTTAAGAGAAGAGAGTTTGAAGAACGGAGAAGTCTTGAAGGTTTGTAGGAAGTAATCATACTCTTTATGTAGGTTGGAGACTGATGTTGAAGAGCTTTAAAAGTGATTAATAGAATCTTGTATTTTATACGTTCTGATACAGGTAGCCAGTGAAGATTCTTTAAAATTGGAGTCATATGGTCGTGTTTTCTGGAGAGAGTTAGCAGTCGGGCAGCAGCATTTTGAATAGATTGGACCTTGTCAATAAAACATTTAGGAAGATTAAACAAAAGAGAGTTACAATTGTCAATTTTCAATGTTATGAAAGCATGAATCAGTTTCTCAGTGGTAGTGAAAGAAAGAAATCTTCGTATTCTGGAATATTCTTGAGATGGTAGAAAGCAGACTTTGATAGTTGTTTGATTTGACGAGCCATGGAAAGAGTTGAGTCAAACATTACACCAATGTTTCTTGTAAGGGGGGAAGGAGAAATAATATCAGAACTAAATTGGATTGGAGGAAAGGATATTTGATTGTTGAATTTTGAAAAGAAGTAAAGAAGTTCAGTTTTATCTTTGTTCAGTTTCAGCTTGTTGATAGACATCCAATTATCAACATCCATAAGACAGTTGTTTACTCTTTGCAGGATTAATTGCATATCTCTATTGTTGTTAGCAGAGAAAGTTGGATATATTTGTGTATCATCGGCATAAAAATGAAAACACATTTCATGCTGTTTTAAAATACTAGAAATCGGCGAGGCGTATAACAGGTAAACAATAGGCCCAAGCACTGATCCCTGGGGTACACCACAGTTTAGACTCTTTGTAGATGATGACACACCATCAATGTTGACAAACTGACGACGGTTAGAGGGATAAGATTTGAACCAAGCCAAAACAGTTCCACAGATACCAAATTTGAATTTAAGACGGCCTAGAATGATATCATATCATGGTCAAAGTAGTGTGCGGTTAAGCCTCGTGGATTACCCTGGGGTGGGGTCCAGAGGTTATTTATTCCCGCTCCGGCGTTTGCTGTTTTGAAGGGAAGTCGCGGCGCTCGCTTCGTCACAAGAAACCAAATAGAACCTCTGGAGCAAAGGGTACTCGAAATTTGTACTCGCAATATTATCATCATTAAGAAGACAGACAAAAAACTAATGTTAATTTATAAACTTCGGCATCACACTAGGAAGCACGGCAGAAATATATTTGTGGAATGGTCTTCCTGTGTTTTTGACGTGTGCTGGACGAATACGGTTTTCTGCGAAAGATATGGTCTGCAGAGCAGGCGTTCCTTTGATGGGTTTGAGGAAGAATCAGGATTTTGGGGTTCCTGTTTCGACCAAGGGCCCGCGAGAAAAACCGGTTTCAATTCTCGCTCGTTTCAAAGTTCCCCAAAACCCCGGTTTTTCCCCCAGACCCACAAGAGCGCCTGCTTTGCAGGCTACGAAAGATAGCGTGGGCTCAAGTAAATATCAAAGATGGCGGTGTACATGAATTCTGATTCGCCATATTTGTTTCAGTACCTTGTTTCAGTTACTTATAAGCCCCCGCAACTTTTAAGAAACCGCATGCGCGTCCATATAATATAAACTTACATAATATAAATTATGTACCACAGGAAGACCAATCAACAAATTTATTTCTGCCGTGCTCCCTTGATGAGCCCGCGCGACTTTAAAGCCACTCAATATTTCCTATGGAGAAAGTAAAACTCATCTGTGGATAAGATCACCAAAGATTTTTTTATAAATATAGTAGCATATTTCACCATTGTTAGAAAATATTTCGTTTTGACAAGAGATACCACAGTCATAGAAATTGGACTCCGTGACGAAGTAACACATTGAAAACAGGTTTTCCATGTGGTCCGTGGTCTACACTGCACGCCGGGATCGTATATACGCCTAGATCTTCTGAAATCRTTCGAACCTTATCCGTCTAGAATCAATCTATTCTTGGTGACTGAGGACGAGGTTGGGTGGTTAGTAGATTCTTTCTTGGAATCATGCATGTTCAGTATGTCACAATGTCGGACATTGTACATGGTCAAAGAACGGGCATTTCATGACATAACTAAATCGCCGTTTATCAATCAAGAAAATATCATTGTGTGTTCAAATATGGCTCTTGCTATGATCCAGTTGACGATGATTCAGTCTATAAACTTAAGAGAACTGGAAAAATGGCAAGTCCATTATAGCCAGTGCAGAAGTTCTTGGCTGTCAACCTAATCTATTTTTCGAAGAGAAAGGAAAGAGAAAAACGTGAGAAAAGGGACAGAGGAACAGATTTAGATATGCGATACTGAAATATAAGTAGTATTTAATTTATAATTTTGCTTATGTCGTGAAGTCGGGGAGACTATGGTTAGAGTTTCCACGGGATCTTTATTGACGCTCACAAGTCCTAGTAGTTACTAGACTTTTTCACGACTAACGAATCTCTATCTCTCTATCTGAAACTAACCTCTATTTATAAAAGAAATTAGCATAATTGTAGAATTAATTACAAAAACTGGTTTGAGTCTGGTTTCCAGTGAAAGTACTGAGTTGCAGGAATAAATTAGAATATTGGCCTTATTGACCTAAGAACCTTAATCTTAAAAAGAGTCTTTAGAAAAGGATTAACTGAATAAAGCGTCGATGACGGTCGCTTGTGTTTCTAAGTCAAAACATACTATTTTAAGTAAACCAAAGTTTATACCAAAAGTAAGGGAATAATTCTTAACTAAAAATTTATGAGTAAACAACTATAATGAAGGACGCCAAAAATATACGTGTCCTTAGGAAGTCTTTTCTGCGCAAGTCTTACTAAACTGGTTTTGTGAACAGCTGAAAGTCAAAAGGTCCAAGTCCAGATTATTGAGTAAATAAGAAGAACCTTTCATTATCCGGTGAATAGAATTCATTACTGACCTTTGTTAGGAAGGTGTTTTACAAGGTCAACAAACCTAAATCTTTTGTTCCAATAGTTACTCCGTCCTTAAGGCTAAATTGTTACCATAGAAACCTAAGTGAAATCTTAGATTTCTTGTACCGTACAAATCAGATGTTTTTCTGGCCTTCTTACACTTAACAGAAAACGTGAATAGAAAAGTACTAATAAGACAAAAAATAAGAAAATAAACATTTTTAAAAAATTGCCACTAAAACGACAAATTGCAAAATAATTATAAATCGCTAGGTTTTAGTTAATAAGGTAATATGAGCTTTTGGATTTTTTTCTTCATTTCAGCAGTACATGTGCTCTAATATGTAGGTAGTATCACCTTTAGGCTGGGTGACCAGCCTTGTTCAGTCCGATTAACACTGAGTTATAAAGAAAATCAAAAACAATCTTAGTCAAATCTGCCGCCCGCAATATAACTGTATATGTGTAGATCTTGAATTTTCTGTTTTCTTTTCGTCAAAAGAAATTTAAAAAAAAAAGTCATTCGAGATATAAAGGACGCTTTATGTGCTTACCAGGCACATGGCCTAGGTGGTTTGCGTCACGGGTCAACTCGTCGGTCAAGCTTTGTCAGGACTGAAAGTTTCGTCAAACTATGGGATTTTTTTGGTGCAATAGGCTAAAAAAATTCTGGTATTAACTTTAAAAGACAACATTAAAATACGCTCTGAAACTTGCATCGAAAGTTTCTCTTTTAAGAAGATAACTACGTTTGTAGTTAGTGACTTTAACTTCGGTACTTGGACCGTGAAAATCATAGTTTTGCTTTAGCTTTTAGTCACTATACTATCTATATTACGATCGTTTAAGCTTAATTAAAGGGGACTGTAGCTTGAGGACACTCGAATCGTGAACAGTTTTTACAGGTTATCATTTCCTGAATACACTGCCTATCTAAAAACAGAAGGTATATCAAAAGAATTCTCAAATTTTCAAAAGCATCTTCAAATCAAACAGTCTTTGGCGAACTCGTGGATACTTGTTGCACTTTTGGAGATTGGGCTCCCTGACATTCGAAGGATTCAAAGTATTTCGCTCGAATTCATACTTTTTTAAAATACTCAACTTAGCTGGTAAAATCAGTAATAGTTCTGTTATTTTATTTTATTTTCCTTTTAACACCTAGTTTTTTGTTATTTTGTTGAGTTTGGAAGCGAAATCTGTGATGAATT